AGACTTGAATTATAATACAATTTTAGCGCCAACAAATTATCAAAAGTATGACTATAAACAATATAAAGTTTATAATATTATTGTGAATATCTCTTTTTTTTTTACCCTGCTCCGTGCCCCAAGTTTTGATATATTAAATCTTTGATACTTTTTTTTTTATAAATATCAAAATATATTCCACATTTTTTTTAAACAATATCTTGATCTGTTTATATTAAACATCAACTGAAATTGAAAAATAATATTTACAATAATCATATTTCTTTGATTTTTCTTTTTTCTAAAAAGACTTGAAAAAGTATGCTTGAAATTGTTTGTCGGAAAAGCTTAATATTTGTGAAATCTTTTTTTAACCATTCATTTTAAAGCATTATATGCAGGAAATGCAATAAAACAAATGAAAGTAAAGAAAAGGCAAGGAAATGTTAAATAAAATATTACCCTCTCATCATGGAAAAATATTATCCTACTTGTACAGATTACCGAAAGTGTCAGGATCCGCCTCCAGCAGATGTTTACGGACAACAGCAACAACAAGGAGTTGAAATCGGACAACAAACATATGGACAACCTCAGGCTTACGGACAACAAGTATATAGCCAACCCTGGGCTCACGGAAAACCTCAGAATTACGGCCAAGGTTACGGACAGCCTCAGATATGTGAAAAGGGACATCATTCACTACAAGATGCAACGGACAACAGAGTATTAGACACTAAATTGTAAACAACATTTGTATTTATACTAATATTTCCCATTTACGAGGGCGTTCAATAAATAATGTCTTTGGAGCTCGGAAAGAAAGATAAACACGCTTTTCTATGATTTAGTCTGAATAAGTTGACTAAAATATTCTCATTAAATTAAAACACATGTCTGAAACATTTTTATTTAATTTCTAATTGTTTTGAGAACACATTTTTGAGTATGACCCTTCTTATACTGAAATATGGCAGATTCTATGATTTGCTGTACTTGTTTTTTTTCTTTCTGATAGATGTTTATCTAAGTTTGGGAAATGAAACAAGTCAAAGGTGGAAAGATCTTGCAAATTTTATTGGTGTGACAAAACATTAACTGTCTGTTTATCCCCAAAATCCTTTACTCTTCATGACCTGTGGGTTTGGACGCTGTCACGAAGACATCTAATGTAGTGAATTCCTCATTCTGTTTCCTTCATCTCATAAAACTTTCATTGTTTTGCAAAAAATTAATATATTGTTTTCTAAACTCCTCCAACAATTTAACTTCCTACCCGAATATTAATTTGAACTGTTTGACCGGTACTGCTAATATTTCAGAAAATGTCATATAAAACTGTTTAAGTGCTCTTGCAATTCTTTGCTTTTTTAGGCCTTTGCAGTCTTGTTAACGGCATCTATTGTAAATTTGTTTTGAGTGTTTACAGCAAAATGGATTCAATTTTCATTATCTGTTTGAATTTCAGACAAACGTGGATATGTACATTTTTTGATTTTCTAATAATAATTGTTTATTTATTCCTACACGCTGTCGTTTTCACTCATTTTTAGCCGGGCTTATTGCTCAAAGGGCAATTACCGGCTTATGTGATCCTGCTCAAGGCAGGATGTTAACCCAATAGTCGCCATTTCAAAGTTACGTGCAAAAATATAGTTCTTACTCTCAACCGCTTTTGAGATATACAATGTACAAACGCTAAATAAAGCAACAAAAATAAAACGAAGTTTAATCTTTATTAAATAAACATTAGTACATTGTAGTAATGACTTTGAAAACTTCATAAGTCAAATAACATAGTTCATTAGCGTAATGATTTTTGATAATCAGTGTTACCGTAGTTTTCTACACATGCGAGGTCAAGCAGGAGAGGGAACCAGACTGGCCTGTTTGTTTACATTCAGCTGCGGTACCAGATTAATTCTGATTCTGACAAAATCGGACCGTGGTATTAGGATTGAAAAACTCACTGTCAGTGTCATTTATATTGATAGTTTTAAAATAATTTTTTCATTAGAGTATAAACGTGATTCATGTAAGAAATCCATTCTACTCTATTAATGAGCCCGGCTCTCTGTACTTCTGAGTACTTTTATTCAAAATAGAGGGTGACCTTTGAGCATTAAACTTTTTTACTATCAAATGTTTCTATAAAACAGTGTGAACTACCCCAAAATGATTTCTATCAATTTTGCTATGTGTCTTAAGGAGGAACAGGACCTTTAGCTGAAAAAAAATCCTGTCAAAGAATTTTTTCGTATTTTTTATATGACTAATTTAATATGTACCTAATATTTTAAAACGGTTCTGTCATGGGATTTCTTGACTTATTTGAAAGATATTGCCCCACAAATACCGCCCTGTATAGAGTTTGTATGGAGTTAAGATACTTCATGTCATGCCCATAACGGAATCCATCATGCGAATTTTTACGCACAAACGATATATAAATATTATAGATATCACTATATGCTCAATATACACTATATTTCAGAATATTCATCGTGTTTAAATTATCTAAAAGCAATTGTTTTCATTTATATAGTATTTGGGTGGGATAATTTCTGCATTTTTCAAGGCAGCTTCAACGACAAAAACCTCATTGGGAAAAATCTGTCAATAGATATTTCTAAATTTACGATTGAATGTCAGTCCTTCATCGTAATTATTTACTGCATAAATATCACAGGGTGAAGCTTACCTCAATATCGCACAGGACATCGTTGAATTAGACGTACATGTATGCATGATAAAAACGCTTCACGTCTGTATTTTCCGAGTGCGGGAAATCAAATGTGACGTCACACGAAAACATAAACATTCAAAATTATCTAAATAAAGAGAATCTCTGTTACTTAACACGAAAAAATATTAATTTAAAAAAATCTGCTTCAGAAATTTATCACGATACACTGACTGTGACCTGTTTATTATGAAATAAAACTGATCATGGCGGGTGTGTGTTCTTGATCTCGCTGCACTGAAAATTCAAACACTACGTCTATGACGTCACTGACGTCAAACTGCAGGGTTAAGAGAAACAAATGTGAGGATTGGGCAGCTTCACAATATCTAAATGATTGCAAGATCTTTAAAATTTTATGAATAATAATTTCTAAAATTAAATGTTTAAAAAAACAATTTAAGAGTTTAGAATAAAATTACACAAGAACTGTTTATTTTAACAGCGTTTAACATGTATATCATCACCGATTATGACGTAATATGTCTTTTTAGTCATGTGATATGTGCCCTGTGTCCCCTTAAAGTCAATGAAACATAATCAGTGATAATTTGTTGAATTTTTGCAAATATACATTGGTTGTTGTAAGTTGCCAAGGACGGTACCCATTTTTGATGCCAATTATATAACTTATGTTTATTGAAATCCATCTGTTCACCTGTCTGTAAAACAGACATTGATTGCTGTAAATTTCACATATTTCCATTAAGATGTTTTTAGGATATTAACAAGTTTTGCAGCTGCTTTAATGAAGCGTTTAATTTCTCTTTACCTTACTGATTCTTGACCATTTATTTATAATGCAGTGTCTCGAATAGACCTTGTTTTCCAGCTTCCTTCAATGAAAGTATGTGATGAAAAGTGGTCACATAAACTGTTATCAATTCATTAAAGATTCAATAATGAGAGAAAGTCAAGCTTAATGTCATACGATTTCTATGTTTTATGTCATCGTTCTAGTGACATTATTTATTGAACGCCCCTCGTATATTGAATTACGCATCTTGATAATCGTAGTATATATAAGTGAAGTTAGACACGAATAAATCATTAATTAATGTACGATGTTGAACTATCAACGTTGATTTAGAATAATTTTCAATTATGATTCATTACATAAGTATTTTATCACAATTTTTCACTCACGGTGTCGAAGCAACATAATGTACTCAACTGTGTGTAAGATCCCTGTATATGATTCCAAAATGGTCATTTATTATATGATGCTTGTTTAAATTTGTTTTTAGCCCACCTGAGATGTAGTTTCAAGTGAGCTTTTTTATACACCCTGTGCCTGGCGTCCGTCCGTCCGTCTGTTAAGATGTCAGTCCGTCCATTTGTAAAGTTTTAACATCAACTTCTACCTAAGAACAATAATTCCAAATCTAACTAAAATGGCACTAACTCTGATCCAGAAAGTATGAAACTTATGTGGAAAATCCTGGGATAGTGTTGAAATTAAATTGTTGAATTATGGCCTCTGGGGATTGGATGAGGACACAACAGGGAGTCAAAATTGAAACGTTTAAATATGTAGGGAATATCTTTTTAAAAATTCTTCTCGAGAACCATTAGGTTAGAAAAGGTGAAACTTATGTGAAAGCATACTGGGATGTAGATTACAAGTTTTGAAATCATGGCCCCGGGGGGTAAGGTTGCGTCACAAGAGGGAAAACTTGGTCAAGAATGGCAGGTCCAAAGTTACTTAGGTGGGCATTGTGGCCTATGGGCCTCTTGTTTAATGCTATATCACTCCATGACACCCTTCATGAATACATTTTTTTTTTAATTTCACGCACGTATATGGTGTCGTATATCTTTCATCCTTATCCGAGGATTTTTTCGCAAAAACGGATGAATTTTTGAATGAATGTAAAAAAAATGTTTAGTACACCACTTATTTCTGGTAAATATATTTATTTGTCATTCATTTCAATTTTCTCACCTATCGCATGATACATGAAACTGAATTGTACAAACGTACTATGTATAAATAAAATGTACTGTAAATTATAAATATATTTCAAATAAAATGCCATTTAACCATTCATTGTTGGGTTTATTAAATTTCTAAACAATTAATATTTTAAAACTTGTTTGTCCCCTTTATGACGTGTAACTTGTTGCTTTAAATCCTTGATCTATCTGGTTGAAGATGAATTTTCATGGGCAAAGAAATCTTATTGTCTTCCTCACTATCATGCAATAAATGTACACGTGTATACTGTACCTCAGAGAATGTTCGATAACGGGTTTGTATGCATAAATTAAAAAAGTCTCATTTATTAAAATTTTATTAATAATTTTACCTTCCAATCTTACTCGTGTATTACAAAATATGTTATAAAGACTACCAATTACCAGATAAAGACTCTGCTTATAATTTATTGACTGATCAAGGTCTGGGAAGATAATACATATAGTGATGTACATATAGAATATTTTTTGCATGAAATTATTGGACATAGTTAGCAAAATGTAAAAGAATTATGAAATCTAGGAAAAATTTTGTAATAAGCGAATGCAAAAAGGACACAATGAAATTGAGTTATATTTTGAATTTGTATGTTATGCAGACGTATGTATATCTCCATTTCATCATTATATGTAATCAAATATATATGAAATTAAATATTGTCTGTGAGATATTGATCTCTTGACTTTCAAAAGCCGAGCTGAAATTGGCTATAATTAATAAAGACAAACATTCACAGATAGTTTAACGATAAAAGATATTTTTTTTTAACTCAGCAATTCAACTTGTAAATGGAAATCTTCTTTCCGTTAGAAATAAAAAAGTCTTCGTATGATTGACTGAAAGACAGAAAAATGGCTCCAGGATAATCCGAGATAAGACATCGACCAGTACTTCCATCATGCATTATCTGGAAAAGTCCGCCATTTTCTAAATGTGCATTTGGTGGTTGTCCACAATATTGACAATTACCTTGTACATAAGATTGACATCTGTTGTGGCGAGCACCATATATCGTCACAGAATAAGAATCAGAATTTAAATCATATCCAAAATTATGCATACCAAACTGCAGGTTTCTACATGTACATTGGATATAAAAGTTTTGGCAGCTCTTATTTTTGCAATACACTGCATAGATGTTATTAAGTGGATCGAATGACAAACATCGAGGGCTCTTCATATTTAGGTTTTGATACCTAAATCTTTCTTCTCCAGTTATTGAGTAACAAATGACTTCTTCATTTGCACTAAGTATAACAAACCGGTCCCCTGTTTTAGACAAGGCCAATATGGGACCAGTTACTGGACTTTGAAAGGCAAACGTGTGAGCAACTGATAAAACGGGAGATATTTTATAGATGGTCACCTGAACTTGGGATGCTGTTATTATTGTGCTTTCATCTTTGTCAACGCAAAAAACGCCAAAGTCTTGTTTTAAATCAATTTCTTCAACACAAGAGGCACTGCCACTATTTGTTTTTTTTCTTATCTTCATTTTTCGAATTTTGGTTAGGCAGCTGATGTACAGAGTATCATTGGTTGGTCCAACGACCAAGAATGGCTGTCCTGTAACTTCCAAAGGAGGATTGCAAGGAATCTTTGTCCCGTCGATAGGATTGCAAAATAGCAAAGTATTTGGCGATAAAACCATTACCAGCGTTTCTTCGTTCAAGAAAATGCCAAGGCGTGAAGGTGAAGATAATTCAAATTCCGATTTCTTCACTGCTGTCAGTGACATGGAATTTGAAGAATTCTCGAAGACTTTTGAAGTTTCTGCCTTTTGTACTGTCTTAAAGATGTCAAATGAAGATAAATGCTTACCCAAGTTCCAAATAGTTCCTGACGGTTTTGTAGGCAGCTTGACGTCATCTATTTTGCTGCGTTCAAAAATCTGTTTCAGAATTGTGGTATGATCATGTTCATAATCACAGACTTCGTCTTCTGGGTTTTTAGTTTTATAATGTTGAAACTGTTCTTCCACATCTCTTATGGTTTTTGCTGCAGAGAGAAATGCTTGTTTACTGGAGCCTGTTTCTTCAATGGCAGAAAGAAGAACCTTTCCATTTTTAATCGTCAAAAGGTATTGCTTCAAATCAAAAACACATTGTTTCAACCTTTCTTCAATATCTTCATGCTTTTTCTGTAGACCTTTTTCAAACTGTCTCTGCAGTTCATCAAGTTCTATTTTAATGTTCGAAATTTCTGTCGAAACATTTTTCATTATTTCTTCACGTTTGGCGCTTTTGCTAATTATTTCCTTTTCTTTGAATTCAATGGTTTCTTCTGTTATCTTCGATATTTTAGAAAGAACATCTATAATCCCTTTGATAGCTAATTTTGACATATTTTTGGAAACTTCATCTAATGGTTCCACGTGTTCACAGTATCTATGTTGTGTTGCAAAGCAAACACTACAACAGAGGGCCTCGTGATCTAGGCAAAAGACTTCAAGATATTTACCTTGATGTAAATGACAAGGTTCATCCAAATCCGGATATTTTGGTTTATAATCTTTGTCATCAAATCGCAATGTTGAGATTTTGTGTTTTTGCAGACTACCAACAAGTTGATGAAGTTGTTTACAGGAAGGGCATATAGCCTCTGCACAGTCATTACACCATGACTCCGCCTTACTTTTTTTGTCGTCCCGCAAACAAATGGCACACATTTTTTCCTCGGATTTTTCAGCACTCGAACTTGTCAATGAGTTGACCAGTATGTTGGTTGGAAAATATTTAGCCCATTCGTCCACAACGATCCCTGGTTCCGGTCGACCAGTAACGCGACGACACACAGGGCATTCAAAGTCAAAGTTCTCTTGATCTTTTCCAATTGCAGCCCTAGATATAAAAGTCTGCAGGCATTTTTCACAAAAAGTATGACAACAGGGTAACCGTTTGGGCGTGATAATCTTTTCCAAACAAATCGGACAACTGTAAATAGTGGGATCAATTTTAGGTGTACCCTCCGCCATTTTGACTTTCAAGATTCAAAGTACATGTAGTTTCGGTTTGAGAGATAATGGTGGTCCGTTGGAACAAAAAATAATTGCATCTTTTAATTTTGTCAGTCTTTCCGTAAACAATGTACATGTTTCTCAAACAACAAATTTTGTTTAAAGTTAAATATAGTATCCTCATGTTTATTGAATGAATATAAGTAATTTGCAATTGGTTTCTTATATTAAGTATCTAGCAGTAGAAAATAAATGCCTTTGTCATCAATAACGAGAAAAACTCCAAAATTCAATAGTCTTTATTTAAAAAACATATTTTTTTAGTACTGAGGCATTAAAATTATTGATAACAAATTTATTCGCTTTCCTGCAGCAAACTTTACCATGAATGAAAGGAATTAAGTATTATCTATACTTATAAATTAACAAATTGTGCAAATAAACTCTGAAACGGCTGCACAAGAGTGCTTACTAAAGCCTGTAGGAGTACACTAGGTACAAGGTGATGTCCGTAAACTATATTCAGATTTCACTCGCATAGTAATTATCGTAAATTTAATTAAAAGTCTACTTTTATTTTCGAATAACAACCTCGAAATAGCACTGAAGAGAGAAAAGTGGAGACGGATCTAAGTAGCTGGCACTTTAAAAAAAAAAAACTGACAACAAGCAAGCGCTTATTCATTTTGTAAAGCGTCATTTATGAATTACTCAATCACAACTTGATTTAAGCGATATAAAAGAAAGAAGCTTTGGCCATTGATTAAAAAATAAATATGCAAATCCTTTCCGTTTATGTCCTATCTTGCTATTTGTTGAAAGTTCTAGAAAGTCAGGAGGCATCGAACCCGATGTCAAAAAGAAAATCGAGGCGATTGTTTATCATGATTGGACATGGAAATAAATGTTAAGAAATTAGTAACACAATGAGTATGAATATATCTTAGTAAGCTGTGCTAATGTTTTATAAATAAATGTCGATTAATGGCCATGTTATTTGTTTAGCCAAATAAATTGGTACAATGTGATTTTTAAATAATTTACTTCAATGATTTAACGGTAGAGCGCTCGCTCCGTGATCGGGAGGTCGTGAGTTCGTATCTCGGCGGCGACTAACCTAAGTCGATAAAAAATGGGTAGCAACTGTTCCTTCGCCTTGCGCTCGGCACTTTGAAGTGAAAGTTGCGGGTCCTTCGGATGAGACCTTAAAAACCGAGGCCCCGTGTCAGCGGCAGGCGTTGGCACGATAAAGATCCCTCACTGCTCAATGGCCCTGAGTGCCGAGTAAAGGTCAAAATTTGAAGCCCTTCACCGGCATACGGTGACGTCTCTATATGAGTGAAAAATTCTCGAGAGGGACGTTAAACAATATACAATCAATCAATCCATCAATCAATGCTTTAAAAATGTGTTCTTTGATAAATACATTTCAGTTGATTTTCTGCACACAGTCTTTTATTTTAAAAACCTATTTATACCTCTTAGGCCTGTATACACATTTGGGAAAAAACTAAGCTTTTTCTTTTTTAATTATTTTATATGTAGTTCATGATGTATAACATAGTACAACAGAATAAAGTTACTTTATAACGTGTAAGAAGAAGAGGCCTTTTAAAATTAAATTGATATTTGTAGAAGTGAAAAAAATATTAGGAAATGTATTTCTTACAATAATCTATTTCTGTTCCTAAACTAATTGCGGGACTTTGAAGTATTTCGTCATGCTATATATTCTATATTCCTATGTAATAAACTGTCAATAGAATATGAAAGATAGTTTTTTTAATAGTTCTGTAAAAAATAGTAATAACCCCCCCCCCCCCCCGCGCTTGCGCGGGATTTCAGCTAGTAACTTATAATGCAAGTTTCTTTGCCTAGTAAAAAATATATTTGGGTCTTCTTAAATTAAGTGCAAGTAATAATATTGATATGAAATTCTAAAAAAAAAAAAATGGCATTTCATTTTCTTTGCAGCCTAAGTATGGGGCTTATCTATTTTAAAATTTTCAAGTTTATTTAAACACCATTCATAATACTGTGACTATTGAAAAATGTTTTAATAAGTAAGAGTCTTTTGTATATAACCTTTAAAATCGAGATTAATGACATTAACTGCTACTGTTCCTTATGCGTAAAGGTGAAAATGCTCTAAATTCGAGATCCAATTCCAGGATAAGCCGGATGTCGGGATAGTCAAGATGTCAGGAAAGGCCTTTTATTAGCATGATACAGAACATTCTGAATTTTTAATAAAGTAAAACCGCAACCACAGTAAAATGGCTCGAGTGTTGCAGGAAGAGTGGAACAATATTCCTCAATGTTCAGTGTGTCAGAACTCTAGTTAAATAAATTGGGAAGGTGTCCTCAGTCTGTGATTGATGCTCGCGGTGGACACACTAAATACTAATTTATAAGGACCTTCACCTTTGCAAGTGAATACAACAGCTACTGAAAAAACTATTTTAATATTATTGCTGCTGTACCAATAAATTAATACATTAAAATATTTAATCTTTGCAAATTTTCCTTTGAAATTTTATCTCACATACTCTTTGTGCGTTTCTAATTTTGATAATTTGAGGAGCATATATTTTTTAGGAAAGTTCCATTATCATCTCACTTAATAAGTTCTTGTGAAAAGCGAGTAACAATTCGTGAACCACCAGTTGAAGATATACCGTGACGCACAAAGGGAAAAACTGACAAAGGAAAATTTTTGCAAGATCCTAGTAAGTTTTGTTCAATTCCTGAAGGTATTAGGTTTCAGAAGATTGCAGATTTCAGAACATCTAAATTCTGCTTTTATGGAGAAATTATACAAGTAAAAAAAATTTTCAGTAGCCCTAACACAAAGCTATTACTATAATTCCTCCCTATCGTACGCCTGCGAAGAAATGTTGAATGTTATCATGTTTACAATGGTCACAAGCATATTGTACCAAAAAATGAATCTAAGGAGACCAAAATTTGGATACAATTTTTTAAAAGTCATATTTCTTTAATGAAATTTTCAAACTTTTCTTTTGGAGTTATTATGTAGTTTATTAGACAGCAAATACCTTCCAAAAAGTGGTAAATGTAACCCTAATCTTAGAAAGCATATAGCACTCTTTAAATTGTCAGTAGAATATTTCTATACTTCTATGAATAAATTTCAGAATATTTATAATAGTTTCACTAATATTTCATATATTTTCATCATGTATTTTAGGATAGATCAAGATACATGTAATTTAGTTTAAAATTATTTTCTAAACTCTCTGGACAAGTACAACATATACTAGACGACAAATCCCATACTAGTATTTTACAAGGTGTAGTATGAGGTTTAATTTATTCCTAAACAATAGTTCCATAAACTTTCGACTGGTTTTATACCTCAGGCAAAAGATCTGCATGGCTTTCAAATTTACAATTTCAAAATCTAACTTCAAAATAAGAAAAAAAAAAACAAATTTGTTTTATCTACAACAATTTAAAATGTGATAATGTAGTTTTAAAGTGTTTTTTTTTTTCAAATATAGTGTGCATATTAAAACAATTCAAATTGAAAAAAATCCTCATAGATTTGAATTCACAATGCATCTGAAGAAATGTAGTTTTAAAAAAGAATATCAGCTTTGAACATTGTAGACAGCACATTTCTTTTCATCAGCAATGAAAATGTCATCATATACTTGACTGAAAAACATAAAAATTGCCCCGTGACAATCTGATATAAAACGTCGACTTCTACTACCGTCATGCAAAATTTGAAGAACTTCGTTATTTTGCAGATGAAGATGTGCATGAGCTCCACAATTTACGCAATATTCATAGACATTTTCTTGACAATTATTACAAACAGCGCCTTCTGGAGATAGAGAATAAGAATCATAATTTCCGTCATTATAATCATGATAACCAAAACAAAAATGATCTGGAACAAAGATTTTGCAGCTTGGATACTTCCAACACAATGTGTATATATTATTCTGGGATCAAATGACAAACATTGAAGTTTCTCTGCGTCTTACTGTTGAAATCGAAATATTTCCTCGCCAGTGATCGAGAAACAAACTACCTCATTATTCCCTGTCAGAATAGCAAGTCGGTCAAAGGTCTTCGACAGAGGAATGACAGGACTCGTTTGTGGATTCTCGAAAACGATGGTGTTAGTAACTGATAAAAAGGGGGAGAATGAAAAGATTGTCACCTGGGTTTTGGATACTGTTACGATTCTATTGTGTTCCTCATCTATACCAAAACGCAAAAATCTTGCTTCAAATCTATTTCTCTGACACACGTAGCACTGATTGATTTTTTAAAAAAAAAAAATTTTATCTTCAACTTCCGAATTTTGGTCAAGCAGTTGATGTACAGGGTGTCTTTGGTTGGTCCGGAACTTAAAAAGGGTATTCCTGCTAATTCCAATGGAGGATTACGTGGCATTGAAGTTCCATCGGAGGGGTTGTAGAATAAATTTGGAATTATTAAATCATAACCAAAAATTCGCACTTATGTTGAGAAAAAAAGGATATGAATAAGGAATTGTGTCGCAGATCTTCGGATTGCTTGTTTTCGTTTGTACCAAAAGCTAAGGTTATCTTTCTTGGATTAGCTTTATCCATCTCAATAACATATGATTTATAACTCATAATGAGTTAAGTTGGAATATCTTTATGTCTATGCTTTATGATTATTAATCCATTGTTGATTACAATACTCAGCAGCCACGTAGCATCGTTTTTGAAAAAGGTGGCAGCCAGAGAAAAAATACCTTTCCTGGAAAAGTTGACAAGCAAAAGGTATGAAAAAGCAGTTGTCCAAAGTTGAAAATCCTATTTCGGCAGTGGCGGGTTTTTTTTTCAATGCCAACCTCATTCAGTTCCATTTTTTTATTCTATTATTTCCTTATATCACAGACAGTGGGGGAGGCCAACCTGCCTTTCAATGAACATTTCCTATAGTATAACTAATGTTGGGGAAAAAGTGGAGGGCCTGCCCCCCCCCCCCCCATTGCTACGTGCCTGCTAAAAACAAAACTATTGTTCATTTTCATGATACATTCTTGTTTGTCCTAAGACAGAGTGTTTCACAAGGATTACAACTTGCCGAAATACTT